GACATAAAGGACCTGTGTGTCCCCTGTAGTGATGGGTAGTCTGAATGCAATCGATTTGAACCTTCCATTCCCATTACATCCAAGTATCTATGGAACAATGTTTTATGTACTAACTTCGTAAATACATCTGCAACATTATGGGTGCCAGGGCACCAGTATGGCCGCACCTGCTTGGCCTCGTGCATATCTCTTATACGGAATTCTCTCAGACAGATATGCCTTGTTCTGGGTGAGGATTCAGGATGGTTTGCGACGCTTAATGCAGCTTTATTGTCAATCATGATAGGAATGGCTGGAATATCTTGGCTTAAACCGAATAAAAATGGAAAATCGCACTGTAGAGTATGATACCACACGGCACTGTCAGCGGCCGAGGACGCGGCAATCAGCTCGGCTTGCATTGTACTGGCTGCCGTAATAGTTTGACGCTTTGAGTTCCACTGCACTAAACTACCAAATACATAAAAGCAGTGTCCGGAGGTGCTTTTCATTTGCTCTCCATCTGAGGCCTTGGGCAGCCAATCGGCATCAGAGAAACCCACTACTGGGCTACTAGGGACATCATTCATTTCCGGAAAGGCAGCGGCCAGGGAACCAATATGACTAATGGCTTTGCTATTCTTACGATACACAAGACTGAGGTCCCTGTGCTCCTTAAGGTATTGAATCATGGCCTGTAAATAAAGTATGTGAATTTTCTTTGGCCCATGCATGCCTTTGCATGCTTTGGACACGATGGTGGAGAGATCAGGCCTGCAGGTGATGGAGAAGTAGATGCAGGATCCCACTATGCTAGCGAAGTTTTCCTTCAGCTGCAGTTGATAGTCCGACAGTTCGTCATCATCTAAACTCGGAGGGTTGTCGATTTCAGATGAAGAGGTTGATTGAGACCAACGATTGCTGCTAGCTAGGAAAGGATACTTCTTAAACAAGTCATCAATCTTGGCCTTGACGTTCATAGAGAGTACACCGTCAATATACGAGATATCCATGCCCAGGAAGGAGTTAATGTTCTCATCCCATTGATGCTCTCCTTTGAATTTCTCTTGGAACAGTTTCCGCAGCTCCGCTATTTTGCTGACGTCAGTCCCCGTCACCAAGATGTCATCAACAAATACGGCACACGCAACCCATTTACCTTCATGGTGATGTATGTAGAGACTGGTATCATTCTTGCTGCGAATGAAGCCAGCTTCTAGTAGAACTGAG